TCACATAAAATGATGATATAGGGAGTGGTGCCTTACGCGTTGGAATAAAAGCAGCACTATATTTGACATGCTTACTAAATTGAAAATAGTTCATGCTATGCAATCTGGTAGTTATGCCTTTGGTTTTTATATTTATTTGAGCTCCATGCAAGTAAATTTGGTCTTGAAGCAATCAAAATTGAATGTAATTTATGAATAAGGCAGGTCAAATTTTGAAAAATAATAATTGATTTTTTATGAGGATATTAATACATGATTTATCGTGTACCGTTCAATTAAAAGCCGTTACATCTCGTTTTTTTTACAGAAATAAAATAGAAAAAACATGTTGCATTCATTTTCATTTTAACTCAAAATCATATTTTTACAAATTCAAAAATATTTAGATCTAACAAAAAATTTTGTCATCATTCTTTTACGATTAAAGATGTTTAAAATATTAAACAATAATTTTCATTGGCTATACATGTGCTTACGGGTGATGTGAGTTACTTACTTTTGTCATCCATCTGGCCTCCTCACTGGCGAATTGGAGATTTGGTCCTTCCACGCGTACAAGTCGGGTCGTTGGAATATTGGTTAAAAAATCTTGTGTTTCTAGGGGTCCGCTTGCCTCAAGGCTGCGCTCCGGTCGCATGGGGCGATATTCTTCTGGCACAAAAACGTGAGTTTGGGAACGATATTGAGAACGGTAGTAAGTTGAGGTTTTGATGCAGGCCTGGGTCAGCCCCACCAACAGCAACCATATGAATAGCTCCGAGCCTTTGAAACTCAAAGTCATATCCGTAAAGAATGTCCTCTTTTGAACGTACTTTTGTAGCCTCTACTTGTTAGCAATGGGGGGCGAGCATGCATAGGTTTGATGCCGTCTTACGCATTCACGCATGTGTTGCTGACGCCTGTGCGCTCTGGCGCTACCGCCTCCCCAGGAATAATTTCACAGTGTATCTGATTGTCTATGCGACCGCATGGGCATGGGTGCCTGGCATTAGCCTATCAGCGCCCAGCATCAGTAATGAGCGTGTGCGTGCACGTTCGGGTGGTGACGTTGACACTGGCCTTTGGACCAATCGCAACGCACGCACTTCTATGCCGCGCATAACTGAATGCCCAATTAGATGGCAGAAACGCGAACTGGGGTTGCGTTTGGCGACACCGGTGAAGAGGGGCAGAGAAGAACGTGGGGCTTTTGGCACCAATGTCTTTTAAGTATCGAATGCATTTTTAACCTATTTTAAATGCATATTTTATTACAACTTTGTAAAACCATCGTTTTTTGACCCAGTTTATCAAAAATTCCGAATTCGACGAAGTAAAATATGGGCTCAGTAACTTATAGCCCATTTCTTTCATAATAGGAAATTCATTTGAACGCTGCATTTCTGATTAATTTTAGATGCTCTCATATATTAAAAGAGGGTGAGGTAGAAGTCACGCTTTCGAATGGACTTAGGGTAACATCTAAGTAAACAGGGTTTTGTTTTTCTTCACTCTTAAAGAGTTATTAGCTCTGCTATCAGTAGAATTCTAACTTAATTCATATGGCATAGCTC